CCTAGGCTTGAGCTCTTGGGAAATGATTCTTAGTGTCCATGCTCTGACCCTTTCCTGCCGTGTCTACTGGGCTCTTGGACTCACCGGGATGGTCTGGGACTGAAAGGTCTCCTTGTGGGAGTGTGAACTCCTCCCCAGGTGGTTGATGTTGGAGACTGAAGCTCTGTCCCAGAAAACACAAAGTGGAAGAGTAATGCATTGGTCCCCAGCCACACCTGGGACTCCAAAAGAACTGACCATGTCCCATCTAGCCCAAGGTCATACACTCTGATGAAAAGTAGAGAGGATATTTACAGCTGTCTATCTCTGTTCACTAGGTATATGTTCCTGTTGTTGCTCTATCCCCTGGGCAAGTTATTTCCCTTGTGGACTGGTCTGGGAAGAAAAGAAAAATTTCCACTGATTCTCTGCTCTCAAGAGAGGAAGTTAGAAGTCGAAGACTGAGAAAATTGTCTTTCCTAGACTCCTTAGAGAGTCACAACAATGATGTGTGGTGAGGGTAACTCTTCTGTCAAGAAAATTGCTATTCCTTCAACAAGAAGGAGAGCAAAGGAGTATTCATTTACTCTTCTATCAAGGGTATTTGGGTAAATCAAATCATCATTTCAGCCCATGGCTTCGTGATGCTTTTAGTAAAGCACTAAGGAATTTCATGCTTGCAGCATAAGTTAAGAACTATCGGGACCAGCAGTTGGCATAATGGCTATGTCGCTGGACTCCCACGTAGTCGACCACGGTTCACATCCCGGACCTGGTGGCTTAAAACTCACACTGGGTGTGTGTGCGTGCATGCCCAAGATCCCGAGAGGAGAATGGAGGAGAAGGGATTGCGGCCTGGCCATCCCCCCTGAGGAGTGATTTCTTGCTTTCTGTCTCTCTGTCTTTCTCTGTCTGTCTGGTGAGCGCACACACCCTATAGTAAAAACTTCTCAAAAAAAAAAAAAAAAGACCTATCATTTAGTCTTCCATTCATGAAATATTTTTAGGGTTTTTTTTTTAAGGATTGTTCCCCCTTAAGGCATGTACACTCACCAGAGAGAAACAAAGAGAGAAAGCCTGAAATCACCCCCAAGGGGTATGATCAATGAGCAATCCATTCTCCCAGGATTCTGGACACATACACACACATGTCTGGTTTCATTCTCAATCTGCCAGGTCCAGGATTCAAACCGAGATTGGCTATGTGGGAGTGCAGCACCTTAACCACAGGCCCATGAAACATTTTTAATTATAAAAGATATATTGTACTTATACATTTTGTGCACCACGAACTGAAATTAGAATTCTATATGAATTTTATAATCTAAATTACATTTGTGTCCATTGTTTTAGATCAGTCCTATTAGAAACTCACTCTACATTTGCAGAAATGAGACTCAGAAAAGTTAAGTCTGGGGTCAGCAGATGGCATGCTGGTTAAGGCAGCTGGACTCCCAGATGGCCACCTGCAATTTGAACTCCATACCTGGCAGCTTCAAAACCATGGTGGACACATGCACATGCATGCCCAAAATCCCAAGAGGAGAATGGAGGAGAAAGGATTGCAGCATG